TAAAAGTCCTCCAGAACTCATCCTCTGAATGTTTTTTTCAAAAAAAAAAAAAAAAAAAAAAAAACGAACAAAAAAAAGAAAAATTAAAAGAGGAATTCGCAGCACAGGGAATTGTCCTTGTTGCAAAGAGTATCTAGTAAAGACTGCTACGCGACAATTTGTGCATGATTTATTGTTGCCTGTATTGTCACATCTTAGGTTCAAAAATGAACCCWGACGAAAAAAAACCCAGCAAGTTTGAAAATTTGAAACAAAAGTCGAAAAGCTGTTGCCGCCTGGCCAGCGGGATTCCCGAATTGTAGAAAGGGTTCCAAACTACTATCAAATAATACCAAAGTAATAATTACCGATTTGACAAACGATTCCAATATCTTCATCGTGTCCACAGTTATGGTCACCCCAACCTGAGTGAGTACAACTGCCCAACGAGCTCTCAGACCCTGTACACGCCAAGTCGTCCAGCCAAATTTTTCCACTTCCTTCTCCCAGGTGCATGTGTGCCAGTCCTATTCCATGACCCAGTTGTCTACATGCAACATTTGTATCTCTGATGTCCCAGGAATCATCACATACCGTCCCCCATTCTCCATTGTGGTTGACATTTAAGATGCCTTTAATAAAGGAACTAGACTTGGAGCTGCTAACAAGCCTCAAGCTGGATGCATCTAAATAGGCAAGTACGTATGATGTCAATTTATATCGGGAAATTGATTAGCTATTTTTTTAGTTGCAGGGCCAACGCCCCTTCCTAAACGAACATCATCATGTTTCCATTTTATTGAAATGAGAAACTATATCGGAAGGACTAGATGACTCTTTAAAAAAATCCCATCTCTCTAGGAATAATATTTAAGCTAGTCACAAGGTTTTATAGGGTGTATTTATAGAAAATGAGTTGCATTTGAAATCATGGAAAAATCGCTCCATGTAATGATCAAATATAACCAGCAGTTTCAAACTTTTCATGCCAAAACTATATAAAAGTACTTACCAAGCAGTTTAAACGCACTGCCAAGAAAAATAATGAAGAAAAACCTTCTCATTGTCATCTGGCGGATAACAAAGAGGGTTCTTATCTTTTTTTTGTATGATCACTTTTGTGCCTCCTCCTTATAACAGTATCAGCTTGGCAATTGACTCACTTTATATATTCGAATCCTATTTGTACAAGTTTGTAATATTTAGATCAAGGTTTTTCAGCGCTGATGTTTCGTTATATTCTTCGGTATAAGCAAAATATAAAAACAAGAAGCAAAAATGAAACATGAAAAGCAAACCGATCCATCATTACATTTAATTTCCATTGATAATATTTAATTAGTATATGTAATAGGACTCCATGCTGTCCAATTAAGAAATAGTTGGACGAGGAAAATTCCGAGGACTGACAAAGTTGGATGAGGCCGTAGGCCAAGTCCAATTTGGTAGTCAGAGGAATTTTTCGAGTCTAATTATTTCTTGATTGCAGAGCATGAAATCCCATTACCTATTAATTATATAGCTAGCTAATTAACCCCATATCAACAAGACCTGTCCAAGTAAGAAAATAATTGGACAGTTACCGGATATGGGATTTATGAGAAGCTGTACAATTACTCTTATTAATGATAGTGTTATTAAACAGGATTGTACGAAATTACTATTTTATGGAAACACATTTTTGAAATATATTATCGTTGCACGATTAGCACGATTATTTTGAGGAAGCTATCAAAGAACTTCCTGAATGACAATGTGTCTGTCAATACCAGGAAACATGAATGCTCTATCAGCCTATCAAAAGTTATCAAATGTAACCGAAGTACATCAACAAAAGATCAATCATAAGAGTGAAAATAGGAAGATATAACAAACAAGCGAGAATAGGAAAAGATTCAAATCAAAAATAGCAAACGCTTAAAAAATCAAAACTGCCTTTAAAAATGTTTAGACCTAATTTGTTAAAAAGTAAGAGCTTATAATTAAATTCAAGACAAAAAAAACCTGTAAATGAAGAAAAAACTTTTGATTTTGCCTTCCAATTCAAGGATGCGATAAAGATATCAAAACTCAAAACTGTTTAATTATTAATTATAATAATAGTTTTCTAGGAAATCTCGTAATTTATTTTCCTTTCTTATTATAATAATAATTTTTTTGTTACAGCACGATGCCATAAAATCTTGCATTCGTTGTAATCGTGAGTTACAAGTTTTATTATTTTCGCGAAAAATCCATGCTTTTGAACTCAGATGAAAATTTTWAAATTTAATCTATATTTATTTATTTTTCCATTTGATTTTTATTGGTTGCTGTATAGAAAAATCAAGCATTTGTGATGTAGCTTTTCTTTTTTGGTTCTTTCTCCATGTTGATAATTTTGTACGAATTTTAGACGAGTTCAGTATAAGTGATGTTTTTATATATGTATTTAGAACTACTACGAAAACTTTTAAAATATAATACTGACTTAAGCATAATACTGAAATGTGGCCTAATGAGCTCTAGGTCAAGAGTTCCAGATCAAATAAAATTATATCTCACATTTGTATACATTGACGGAAATATTTTGTATTAAAGTAGTTCAGCTCTTCAGCACATGACGAATCATCAGTGTTGTTTCGTTTACAAACTATTCCGATACTAATGTTTCGACATCAATATTATTTGAAGATAACTGTATTTTACAATCAAAATTCCATTCAAGATTTAAAAAAACGAAAAACAAAATAACAAAACAACAACAACAACAACGACGACAAAAAAAAAACAACAAAAAACAACAACAACAACAAATAACAACAACAACAACAAAAAAAACAAAAAACGATAAGCTTATCATTTAGCGAAAAGCTACTGTTTCTGATCTGTTATGTTCTGACTTACTACTATACTGTCTGTTTATACATTGGTACATATATTTCTCAATATAAATAAGTTATCGACTTGTATTTCAGTTCCCACCACCCCACCTATCAAAAACATAACAAATTGGTGGTAAGCATTTCACAACTCGATTCTTATGGCTGATACATGTAGGACTGCTGTAACATCGACGTCTGTAGAACTACTCAGAAGTCTATAACACTGAGACTTCTGTTATGGCGGATGCATTTAGGACTGCTGGAAGTCAAGTGACCTTGACAAGTCACGTGTTATATGACTCACCTAGCGAAAGATAAAACATCTGAGTCCGAGAGTATATAAAATAATCAGTTTAATTTGTTATAATAACAACTATTACGAGTAAGGCGTCGAAGACCGACGACATAGCGGAAGACATATAATACATAGATTATTTCCTAACTTAAGTGGCTGTTGGGCTTCGTTCCTATTTAGCGTAACCTTCAATTTTTCTTTGTCTTAAACAACGTTCGCAGCCATTTTGTTGTTCTGCGTATCCAATCTGCGCGCGATCTCGAACTCTTTTAAAGGAATGAGCGAGGAACTCCTGGCTGATGTTGTTTATGAATAAGATCCAATTCAAAATGGCTGCCAATTTGCGAAAAACAACTTGGCCAGACACTGAGCTCAAGGATGGTCACTGCCAGGGTTTCTCTACGTCCTCAGTGGTTCTTTTACGTTCCTAGGCAGGGTGGGGTAGTGGAGAAACGGGACCCAGAAATTCATAAGGGTTTAGAAACTTACAAGTTTCTGGGTACCGTTATTTTACATGGTCATCCAAACCACTTACCGAGTCATTTACATAATGCCAATCAAAAGTTACGGGTTACGTCAACCGGGAAAGWTTTCATTTGATATCACGTATCAGTGGAAAATGCAAAAAGAAGGTATTTTGATCTCGCAAAATTCGCAGGTGAATGCAAACACATTTCGGCATCACGTGAGAAAAGTTTTTCTGGCTCTCTCCCTTTGATTCGAGAGTTTTTTGAGTTTTTCCACCCCCCCTCCAAAAACCTTAGCACGATAAATTCCCATTCGATTCGTGGGTTAGTCATGATCAGAAAGCTAATTAACAATCTTTCGCTCCAATATCCGCAGTCCTTTTGCAGTCCTTATCCATGTTATCGTTCCCAGTTCGCTATTTTCAAGTGACATTTTCAAGTGACATTTTCATTGGACCCACAATGCAACTCGGGTATCACAAACAAGAAAAACATGGYGAATATGAATGAAGATATGAATTACGAAGAAAATGGACGCTCAGACGGTAAGAAATGCTTGAACGACTTATAAAATCCCATGACGTTTAGAGTTAGATGTATTTTATTCCCTTGGAACAGTAAATTTGTTGTTTTCTGTTGTTTTCCGTCGAGAAAAAAGGCAAAGTTTATCGAGCGTGTGGTGAGTTTGCACGTGTTACAAAAACCTTGAAAAATCCGGACTGCTTTCTTTCATTTTATTCTATTTATCATTCAAATATTTTGTATTACCTTCCTTTACATTTTTTGAAGTATTTTGGTTCTTCTTTCTATTAAAGAGTGAAGAATTACCCCTCGATGCTCGTATTGTCTATTTTATTACGATGACGATGCAGAAGTGATTCTACAAAATAATGATTACAAATACATGATATATAAATGGTAATTCGTGATTAACATGCTATAATAGTCCCATTGAATCATAAAGTACTTACAACAAAGAAGTAATCAGGTCCTAAATGCTTATAAATGATATAAAAGAACGGTAACAATATGAACGTGTGTTCCTCGTGAGTCAACGATTGTTCGAGAATATCAGATGACCTCATGTCACCGTTTCCGGTGGCCTGATGTTAATGTTATTATGAGTGTCAAGTGACCGTAGACTCTTCAAAGAGGAATTAAAAACTAAATGTTGAACTGCAAGCTTTCCACCCCTCCCCTCCCACCTCAGACATTGTTTGACGTAACAGACTGAATGGAGAATTATTTTTTTTAAACAAAAATGTAAAAAAAAACCCGTATGAAGTTATTTTATAATTTCAGAATATTTTTTATCATTTTACTATAACCTTTATTCGTATGATGGTAATAATTATTAGTATACCTAAATTAATTTTTTTTATTTGTTTTTTTTAACAGGCCACTTTTCTCAAAAGGGTATAATCCCTCCAACTTCGTCAACTCCTTTTTTCCTCCTTTTATTAGGTATATTTTTCATTTGATTTTTTTCATCTTTTATTCTCTTTATCACTTTCACCTGTTTTTTTAGCACCATCTAAATAATTGAAATGGTTGTTGACATATTTTCCCCCATTTTTCATTGTTTTTTTTAAAAATAAAATGATATGTTTATCAATTTATTTTATTTGATGTTCAACAGCCTATAAAGCAAGTAATGAAAAGTCTAACTATACAGATTATGGGAAGAGCCATTGAAAACATTTCATAATTTTATTCAAATTTTGTAAGTAATTTTATCATATTTCTACTCCATCCCCTATCGGCTGGGCAAATGCACCAAACTTACTGTATCTGTGTGTAAAAAGCAGTGCCTAACAAATTAGAAACAGAATTTTAGTATCAAGTGTGTTTCCAGAATATTCAAAATGGTCCTATCTAATAATTAAAAGAAAAGCATGAAATTTGTTAATAATAATTGTCAACCATTTTCCGCTTTACAATAACCTGGAATTGTGGAGATGTTGTTTTTCTAATTCAAAAACAGGAAAATTTTTACTACTTGTACTAACTTGGAGTCAAGTCTTGGAATTTTCTCTACACGTACCCATAGAAATGATTTGTTTTCTGGAAATACAGTATTTCTACCTCCTAAATAATCAGAAATTTTGAACAGGAAAGTCTTTGGGTAACAATCCTTTTTTTTTTCAATTAAATAATTATTTTCAACCTTTTGACAATGAGCAGGAAGAAGAAGGAAAGTGGAAAGTTTTAGTGCCTTACTGTAAAACACCATACTTTTTTCATTTTTTGTTTCTTTCGGCGCCAATCAGGAATATTTCGTTCAACGATTTCTATATACAACGATTTTACTTAAAAGAAAGTAAAATAGTAAATAAGTAAAAATCAAACCATACCTTTGGCGAACTCGTGGATACTAGTTAAACTTTCCAGAGATTGGGCTCCCTGTGTCCTTATGATTGTTGACATCCGAAGGTTTCAATTTAGGTTTTCAATTTAGCTGGTAAGATGATTAGTCGTCCTGTTATTTTCCTTTTAACACCTACATTGTTTAGTTCTTTGTTATTTTGTTGAGTTTGGAAGCGAATTCTGTGATGAATTGGAAAAATGTTGTGTTATGCGTTACTACTTATCTTGACCTTCAAGGGTCCTGGCGCTTAGAATCGATTTAGATTCACATGAAACACTTTATTTACACTGTGAACTAAGCGAACATTTTATAGAAATTCGTTTAGAAATCCTTTTTTTTTAAATTTCATTCAAGTCTGTTAATTCAACTAATTAYTTATTGGAGCGAATTCTCGTTTAATAGTGTCAAGCGACATCTATTGAGTAGATTCGTACCTTCGCAGTTTTTTAGATACAAGGACATTGCTTCGGCTGTTTGTGATGTGCGACAATCAATCTACTTTTAATTCAGCACGGCTTATTTGGATGACAAAACTAGCCGAACTTTCTTCAAGATTCCATGACTCTTGTTTGGAAATCTCATGAAAAGTTCTTTTTTTCGATGCATCCTGTCCGGCTCTACCTACGAGTCTTCTGAGAGGATCTAAATATGTTGACAATTGTACATAGGCGTTTCTGTTTACTTTATTGCATCAGCAAAAAAAGGCTTGACTCATTGGAATTTTAGTTGTAGGCGTTAATCGTATTATTTTACTTCAAGTTGCATCTTTCCTTGATTCTTTTGATATAAGTAATCCGAAGATAAAACTAAGTGCGAGTGTTCGCATGTGCAGAGTGGGTCCACAGTGCTAGAAGTATCCCACATGAAACATCAGCAGTTCATTTTCTCATATAAATAGCAAAAGTAGTCTATACTGAATAAGAGCAATGTGCTTGTTAGTGTCATGTAATGTTCGTAATAAGATGACGTAAGACGATCAATATACGTTTAATTATCGATCTGCTAACATCTTAGTGAGTGAGTGAGCGAGTGACACATTTGCATATTCAGACCCCTCACAATAACTCGTTTCTACGCTTCACGTGTCTGCAAGTTAATAATGTGAGAATAGATTTTCTATTTTTTCTGTGAAGAACTTGTTTTCAAACTATTGGTAAACATTTTATTATGTTTTGACAAGAAGAAAAATGGATATTGATGATTTTATTTATACAGTAGTTCATTTTATCCTCCTTGAAATAATCTGTTTTTGGCAGACAATAATGTTTCAATGAAAACAAAAAGAAAGAAAGAATAATAAAAATAAACAAGTAACAATTATTACTTTTCAGCAATGAATAATACTTTTCATTCTAATCAAGAGAAGACAGTAAGCTCCAGTTTAGACATTCATCTTTCTGAAATGGACCTAAGTCATTTTCCACTTTGAATAACTACTGGTAGTCATTGTGGTATTTGGTTAATTTGCCATCAGTGGCCATTTCATCCATAATATAATTAACAGTCAGTTTGCCTGGTTTTTGTTGTGTATTAGCACAATCTTAGTAAGATTTTTATTTTTCTGTTTCGTTTTATTTGATTTGGAATGGGTGGGTAAACAAGTTTGAGAATCGAATTGCTCATTATAGTAATTGTTTTTTATTCTTAAATACATATCGAGGGTATTGAGGTAAGTTTCCAATTATTAACATTGATAAGATTGATATTAATATTATATGTAAACCAGATAGAACATTTACCAGTTCAATTTTTCAAGTGATAGAGAATAATTTTGGGAAAATTCAAATTTATTGGAATATTTGGTGTCGTAAAAATTTAATGATATCACTATCAGCTCAGTCAGCTAATAGAGCATTAACAAGTAAAATATATATTTGTATATTTTTTTAGGAAGATAATAATTTGTTTTGTGTAGAACAGAAAATACAGCTGCATTGTTTAGTTTTCCATTTTTATCCTTGAACATTGAGCATTATGTTGATCATTACACCTAAGAACTGGACCTAAACACAAAAAATATCATATTCTGACATTCACCCCTTTCGTAATAGATATTGCAATGAAACATTTTAATATCTGGTAACATTTTTAGAGTTACACTGTATACAAGACAAGAGCAACGGTCACTTTAAGAGGTATGCTAGAAGCAGTTACAGTTAAGCAATTGAATGAAAAAAATTGAACAATAACATGAATTTCATTTCTCTMACAACTTTCAACCAACCATCCTACTTGGCTTGATATAAATTCGGAAAATACGCGTAGGATTGCATTGAGGAACTAAGCTTTCAAGCAAAAAATCCATCATCAGGGTATTAGAATTAGTGTCAAGCCAAGCATGTTTGGTAAATTGTTTTTGACCAGTATATTTACCAAGGGCTAGTACATTTTCAGGAATTACTTAC